ATAACATGCTGCTCGTTTTGGGAAAAGGTGTTTTTTGGGGGGGGGGGGTTCCCTCCATATCTGTCAGTGCCCAAAATTATTACACAAAAGATGTGTAATAACTTTGTGGCTGATTCCTAGCAAGTTTTAAATTGCATTTGTAGCTAGTGTGCTCCCAGGACTAGGAGTACCATTAGTTGACTGACACTCCCACCCAGAGGTGCACGGGGCACCTGGCTTGCTATTAGCTGGTGCAGTGGGAGCCTAGATATGATCCCCAATCCCACAATACCACTTCCTACCATGGATATGTAATACGGCAGGAGGCACAGTTGTTGGGATTGCAGATCAGATTCTACTGCTCCTTTAATTCAATGTCAGTGGCCTATGATGCAGAAAAGGAGCAGACGGACATGACAATTTTTGCCAGATCTGGCCCCTGAAAGTGCTTTACAGCCAAGACCAAACAGAAATGCATGGCTGCAAAGCTCTTTAAGAGGGCCCAATCCCGAAAAAATATGGACTCATAGAATAAGAGTTCAGATGAAGACATTTGAAAACAGTGTCTTCTAGAAGTTGTGTCTGCACTGCCTCCCAGCCTCAGAGCTATTTTTAGAATAGGAGGAGGAAAAGGGGGTGGAGGGAGTTTGGTCTGGAGTTTTTCAGTCCCCACTGGAGTGTGGCGCAGGTTACTGGAGCACCCCCCACAATTTGCCCATCCCACCTTCCACTGCCAGCTGGGGAACCCCTAGAATATGCTCCTTCTGCTCCCATTCCCTCATCCCATTCTGAAAACAGACAGGCCGGGAGGGAGGAGGAGCCATTGCTAGAGGAAACCGCCAGCTGCAGGCTGGGAGCCAGCTGCTACATTCCCCTCCCCCCTGAAATGAACAGTTTGGTTTGGGGGGATGTTGTAACTCAGAACATTTCCTGCAAAGCGGAAGCTGCACTTCTGTCTGTGCCCAAAGTTAGACTGGTATAAATAAGTCACCGAGGTCTATGTAGCTATCTACATGGACACTCATGGAGCATGCCTACATGTTCATTAATTCACCTTTGCTACTGTGCATTAAGTTTAGTACCTCTAATGTGAGATACTAGATAAAAGCACAATAGATGCGCTAATGTGCAGTAGCAAAGGCAAACTTTTTTTGTGATGCTTTAGTTGTTTGCATAGGCAACACATGCCTCCTGAAGTTGTGGGGGCCCAGTGACTGCCCACAGGCAGCAACACAGGCAGGCCAAGCAGGGACCGTCCACAGATGGCTGCAGCGGTGTTGGTGGCAGGGTGGTGGGTCCCCCTGCAGCCCGACACTGAGCTCGGAAGTGCCAGCGGCACTTCTTGGGATAGGCACCAGCACTCCACCTGTGCCCTCCTCCCGT